TTTTATATTTCGCATTACAAGTGGCATTTGGAAACTTCTGGAAACACTGCTCATGATTAAAGATGTGCATTATTTAGGTCGTATCATATAACGGTGACCCTAGGCTGCAGGTGAGAAATCTTAAGTTGGCCATAAAGATTCCAGCAGGTAACACAGGATGGAAAGGCCTCTCTTATAACTCTTGTAAAATGACCATTGTTGTAATTGGCCCTGATCACATGCTGAACTTTTTCATGACTAATAATCCTTTCTTCAAATAGTTTAGAAGTGTTCTGAAAGTGGTATATTCAGTAAATGTCTGCATGTGTGCTACTGCAACAGACAGTACTGCTAGCGTTGCAGAGAAGTAGTGAGTGCTTACTTGGGTTTAAGAACAGCAGAATCCCAGATGAGAAGGAGCTCTCTATCTCCAAAATGCTGCTAGGGCATTGGAGCAGAATAGGCCCCATGCTGTGTAGTCCTTATGAAAGACAAGTTTTGATTGATGTTTCTGCCTTGTACCTTCTACATTGTGTAGTTGATGTATTCTGACATCAGTTTCTCAACTACATGGTGCAACATTAGACCTCATTGCTACACAAGGTGATCTGATTGTTCTTTGGCCTCACCTAGTGCAATAATAAATGCACGTAATTTAGAAATCAATTCTCTCTAAATCTGGGGGCAAATAAAATCATGTTTTACAGATCCATACTGACATCTGTTGCAAAGGATCTCAAAGAACTCATAGATAGTGCAGACACTTCTATTGTGCCACTGTCACGCAGGCATACCTATTGGAGGAGGCATCCTGCCAGAGTATATCATGAACTGATTATGGAGGGGAAACATTGCTTTAGCATATTCTCTCAGGAAGAGAAACATAAGCTCTTTACAGTCTGTGGAGAGCAATAGTTTCTCATTTATAATGATCTCATTTGAAAATAATTTGAATAGTACTCAATGCATCTTTGAAAGGTTAAGGTATCTTATACAGATGTGAACTTCTGATTCTTGGGGAATCAGAGTCTTTCCAGATGCAAAGATTGTCTCATCATTTCGTCCTCCCTGCCTGCCTTTATCTGAAATCACCAACTCCATACCTTGCTGCAGTGAAAATAATTGGTATCAAAACAAACTTTATGTTAATAAATAAACAAATTCCTATCTCTGTGGTTGCATAAAGATAGTAATGATGATAATGCCAGGTAGAACAATATAAGTCATGCAGGTAGAGTTCCTAGAGTGAATCATTGAATTATTAGCATTATTAAAATGTGAACCAAATAAAGCACCTTGCTGAGTTACAGCTACTATGGCCACCAAGCAGGTAGTGCAGGTCTTGATTGTGAACATATAAATGAGCTCAGCTTTAACTACCATGATGCTGAAATGCATATATAATAAATTTCTAAGAAAAAAATAATTGAGAAGATATATCTAACAGTGTATGGGTACTGGGCAGTGCTACTTTGTGGTTTCTGTCCAAAAACTTTCCCGGTATTTTAACCACTAGTGACAAGACTCAAAAGATTTTCTTTTTATCTAGAACTGAAAATGTACACTCATGCCATTATATAGTGACTAAAAGTGTGTGATGACTATGTAAATAAGGAGCACTGAGAGTAACTTTTAAATGTGGACATACTAAATTTACTCTTTGAATAGCTGGAGGAGATAGTTTACTATTAGTAAACATACATGTATTTTTCATTATGTGTGTAGTGCTAAAGTGAAATATTTATCAGATTATTTTTTGTAATATCAACACAGATAAAATTATAGTATAGTCTTATTTAATATTTCATGCAGATCTCTGCATAGATTAAAATACTGCTGAAGTTCAAAGAGCCAGCATGCTACCGGTTCATTATATGTTCTGCAAACAAATAAAGATGTAGGCTTACTGTCAAGAACCATGTTCACTTGAATAGGCAAAGCAAGTCTCAGATGTTAGCACACCAACAGAAAGAAATAAAACTCCCAAATTAGGTAACCATTAAAATGTATATCAATGCAAATAAAGTATACGGAAATTTAAATTCACTCTTAAAATGCCCCATATTTTGTGGTAGTATTTAATTTTGGTCAATGGCATTGCAAGTAGCTGGTTGTATGATAATGGGTTCTTGCCCTGTGCAAGCTAGAACAAAACACTTTTGAATTACACTTGGCAAACAGGAAAATGTCTGCTTCTTGAGTGCTCTAGCACACAGGGATACTACAGTGTCATCTAAAAAGTCTTTGCCAGCAAGAGTTTTAGATGGGCTACTAAAGTGGTCTTAACCGGGAATTAAATGTATGTCTATTACCTGCACTAGCTCTGTAATGGATAGTAAACCTGTACTGGTAACCAGAGATAAGAAACAGCTGTTCTCAGTTTCTGGGCTTCTGTCAAAAATGAAATTATTATTCTCTTAGCATAGCTGTAAAAAGTACCGTGTATTTTGTCAACTCAAATTTATGCAAGGCTAGAATCATCCAGGAAAGCAAAAGTGTATTATAGAAAGCTTCACAGCAATTTCTTGAAGAAACACTAAATCCAATTATGCAGAACATCACAGAATTGTTTGTTATTCCTAAAGCACTTAGTTCTCATGAAAGCAAAGTATTTGTTCCTCTTCTAATGTATCAAGAATAGTACCGTATGTAAGATTCTGTGATAATAAGTTATGACTGCAAAGCTCTTAAACAGATTAATTCTGCAAGAGAAGAAATACACCTTCGAAAAAATATGCAGCAATCCATTCTGTCCTTTAGGTATTTAATTAAAAACAAATCTTAAAGTGGAAGAACTGTAGCTTGGTGGTATTCCCATTGGGGATATTAATGATTGTTTGGGAGAGAAATATTTAAGAAGGTCAATTTTTATTTAATACTTAAGGGTATTTTATTTTCAAAAATTGTAACTTAGTATAATCCTATTCAAATTAGTCCTCAGATAATACCAATTCCCATGGGTAAGAAACCTTGTCATTGTCACTGAGTAGGAATTTTAAAACTATTTGATGGACCACATATTAACACACAGGTTAGTATTACTGAATAAAAACATACAAAGGAATCACCAAGGAATTGATAGTGTAAAATGAAATTGTATTTGTATTTGAAAATGCACACAGTTGTGCATGGGTCATGATACAGACTTCAATGGCAGTGCAGCATGCTATTTTTCCATGGGATCTAACACCATCACTCAAATTCTGTGTTTCTTGCACACTTTGAGAGTTACCTGTTTTCATGGTTCATACGTTTAAAATTTAACTTCACCTTTCTTTTTTAATGAATGCAAAGCTGTGTAAGTGTAAGTAATAGGAAATCAATACACTCGGCTTAGCTACAGATGGTTATTTGGGGGTTGAAGACAACAGCCAGACCTACAGAGATGCTGTGGTAGGCTTTTCATAACTCCTTGGCCACCAGCAATCTTAAAGCAGAATTTTACCACATTCATATTTCTTCCACACACATTCCTTCCTTGCCCTAGCTTCTCAGCGTTGCCTAAAATGTATGTGAAACCCATTGCCCCACTCCCCAGCCTGCACCCTGTTCCCAGTTGCTTTTCCTTCTGATTTTCAGACCATCTAGAATGGCTCCAGCTTCCTCCACTGCTGCTCTCTGATTTCTCTCCCCTCTGTGGCGTCCCTAATCTCCTTCCAGCCCTTCTTCACAATTCATGTGCATGCAACTCTACCAAAATAGCAAGACTTCCCTATACAGCCATTTTTATAAGCACGTTACATCTCTTTCCTCCAACTCTTGCTGTCCACACTCCAGTACATGGGTGAGAGAGGGGCAGTGTATTTCATTCTGCAGACTGACTTCTGTGAATCTGGTTAACAATTCTGGTACAAAACATATCAAATGTGCATATTGTTCATATTTATTTGTATGGATTGTAATTGGTTGACTTTGTTAAAGTACCTGCAGCTTGGGAGTGGCATTTTTAAAGTATCTGTTTTGAATGAGAGGGGAAGAAAATACTCGGAGCCAAATGATCAAGCAGCTAATTACTAGTTGAGTCTCGGTAACAATTATTTTCCTTTGTGAACAGCAGGGGTCACTAAGAAGAAGGGTTACACTGGCTGAAGGAAACAGGTTGCCCCCCCACATGCACACACTAAATCACGTTGCATACAAAGATATCACTATATTAAAAATGAAAATTCTTGGTTCTACTGATTTTGACAGATAATAAACGCTTAATAAAAAACATTATCTTTCTGATTATGGCCTAAGCTATATCTCTTCCTCTAATAAAACCTCTCATAAAAAATTATTTACAGTTGTTTTGCCTACAATGTGTTTTATATAAAACTTTGTTACAAAATACTGTCATTATATTGTAAGTTGATGTTGACATTTAACACTGTGATAGCCAAGATGTCATTTCCTCTCTTGTGATCACACTGTCATTTTCTCCATTATTTGCTGTATTTGGAAGTTAATAAAACACAATTAGTAATGTGGAGAAATAAAAATAAAATTGTTCTCCATTTAGAACAAGTCAAGAGAATAAAAAAAATACTTAGATGGTTTCTCAGTGTAACTTCATTCAGCATAAAATGTAAACAAGCGCATAATTCTGTTCCTGGAAGGATAGAAAGCGCTGACCACATGAGGAAAGAAATTGAAGAAAACCCAGTCAAACACATTAGCAGGCAGAACCCTATAAAAGAACATGCCAGAAAGATAGGTTGCTTGATTTGCCTCATATCTATTCTGTAAGCTTAGTAGTCAAGGAGGGTTTTTTGTATTTATCTTTGCAGCTGAATGAGTTCAATTTCTCTCAGATTACGACAGAAATTTTACAACAGCAGGTTAATCCTTCCTGCCTTCACAGGCAACTGAGCAAACAGACCCGTATCAGCGTGGCCGAGTGTAAAACTGTAATTCTAGAGATTAATGTTGTCTTTCCTGTTTGCTTTGAACTTGACCTCCATGTTTCTCTTCTAGGTACGTTTGTATGTATGAATGTACGTGTAAAGTTATTTATTTGTTTGTTTGTTTGTTGTTAACAGCTTCTGTCCAAGGCCCCTGGGAGAGGGCAATCTCACCAAACAAAGTGCCGTATTATATCAAGTGAGTATAAATAGTAATTAATTCTAGCTATTTATGTTTGTTATTTACAAGGATAGTTGGTAATTTTCTTAGATTATCGTGAACTACTCCTATGGTGCCTAAATGGGAAGAACAAAAAGGAGTGAAGTGTGCACTAAATGTCACAGAAGTGTGCTAGTTATTCAAAAACACAGCAGGATGCACTGATTTTTAAGTTTATGCTACCGTAAATCACCTGCAAACTAAGTAAAGCTTTGGGGTATCTGAATGTGATACGCTGGTTTTTTACATACTTTATACTATGAATTCCTTTCGGGACAGTACTTGGTAAAGTCTGTAGCTCAGGAATGACAAGGGACAAATTAGTCCCTATGGACTATTCTTTTAGAGTTTAGTTCCCAAATTAAGCTAGTTTGCTTTGAGAGATATGTATGCATAACAAATGAGAGGAAAATTTTTAAAATCAACAATTTGGAAACATCTACTTCTAGTGCCCTAAACAGAGCCACTACACAGCAAATAAGAAAGAAGTTTTAATACATTTTTCCTTCTCTTTTTAGTTCTTTATTATCTGTAATATGTGCCTTGAACTATTTATACTTATTTCTGAAGGAAACAGGTGATGCAATACCTGCGATAAAGACTGTAGTGCAAGTAACTGAAACATGGGTGTTGTTTAATATACATAGTCACATCATTCCTTACATTCCCAAAACACTTTGCAAACTCAACTAGTGTCGCCAAAGCCATCTCGTTGCAGATAGCTCTTGCAGTGGCACTTCAGTTGCAACTTTCACAAGGTGAACTGCTACAGCATCTTCAGTACAAGCATTTGAGTTACACATGAAGAAAGCCAAGTCTGTATTGCAATACAAATGTACAGTTATACCTGGCTAAGTTGGTTTACTGTTGCATTAAATTTGTAATTTTTATGTTTGCATTTGGCTATGAATAGTGAAACAGTCACAAGGAAGCTGGAAAGCCTTGTCAAGGAGGAGAGGGAAATCTACAGGGGACAAATGCAAGCTGAGGCTCTGGCATGTCAGAGCCAGCGTATGGCACTACTACGAAGGAAAAGATCCCCCTTTTCTCTTTTCCATTCTATGATTTGCCTTTGTGGGGAGAGATGCCTCAGCAATTCTTAACGTCGACACAGGATGCGTTTCATGCTGTGCTTTCCACCTCTCTGTGCTACTCACATCCAGCAGCCATGGGTAACTGTTGAGACTTTGTGCTAAAATGGTCAGTGGTGCTCTTGCTTATTCCTTACTAATTTTGGTGTCAACTTCCTATTTCATCTTCTGTTCTAGGGAGGCCATTTACAAATTCAAAGGAACAAGTTTGTTTTATTTCATTCACTTTGGCAAATACCTTCATAGCCATAAAGAGTTGTAGCATTACTAGTTTAATTAAAATTTAAATTCAGCCACATCTTTTATAGAAAAAACGTGCTGTCCTTGAGATGTAAAACAAACCAGTCAACTTTTAATGAGTCTTAGTGAGCTGTTACATATATTCCCTTCTCCAGCTGTCCTCAGTCATTTTTCTTCTCATTCATTCTAATCTATCTTATTTCATATTTACACTCAACTAAATTGTCTGGTTTCCATACCGTTTTGGTTTTTAAACTTAGCATATTCTTTCTTTATTCTTTGACCTATCACTTTTCCATCAATTGTTAATGTTCTAAAAGAACTTCCATGAAGACTGAGCAGCAGTTTACATAATTTTCGTTCTGTCATCAATACAGAATATTGGTACTTGCCTCCTTTGTTAACCAGATTTGCTACACATTTTATTGTTTTCATTTTATCTATTTTTCCCTCGATGCTTAACTGTTTTATCTCATCATTTTCATATTTGCAATGACATAGCTTTGATAAATTCATAAATCAGGCAGTACTTAGTGCTAAATCTTCAGCAGCGATGTTTAATTACTGCTAGGTATCTTCAAGCCTTGTGATTTTCCTTGTTAAAATTTCATTTTTATACAGTTCATTAATCTGTAGCAACTAGTTGCCTCTAAAGCTATCACTTCAAGAAGTCCTTCTTGAGATTATTCATGCCTGTATTTTTTTTTCAAATTGTGTTGGTGTAGGCATCATTGTCATGGAAAATATAATTATCGACAGTGTACAACCTGTTTCAGCTATTCCCGGTTGCTGCCATTTTGTAGTTTCCTGGCCTACTGTCAGCCTCAGGAGAATTGCAGCCTAACGGCCTTGCACCAGCTGCTGCATTCTGGTGGATTTCCTTCCACCTTTTTATGAGCTTCCCTCCTTCTGGAGATGACAAGCTAGGCCAACAGTTCAGCCTCACCTCTCTCTTCCCCAGTGAACTGAGAAATCAAATTTTTGTGTTCCAGGACAGCAGAAGCTTCCCAACCAGCAAGTGGACATTCCTGCCTGGGTACTGAACGCTCGCCCAGCGCACAAGGTGCTACTGAGTTAAACTCTCCCTTTTGCCTCAGAATTAAAACATGTAAAATTGCTCAAAACCACAATTATCTGACCCTTTTCTTTTTGATCTTTTTTTCTCCCTCGATATGCTCCTTGTGACTAGCACAGGATTTAAAGGTTTTACTAGACTAAAAAAGGAGGGGAATAAAAGAAAAAAAGTTTTCAGTTCAATCAGTCCTGCTCTTTGAAGGCCTTGATCCTGCTCTTACTAGAGTGCAACCCAGAAAATGGACAGGCAGAAGCAGGCACAGGCATGTCCGTATTCCTTAATAACGTCTTAGGTATTCATTAAAATTTCTAAATTTAATTTTTTAGCAGACAAAACAGGCAATTACTGTACATCAGAAATCTGAAAAGCAAATGGAAAAAATGCACAGCACAAAGACTACTGAATACGTATCAAAAGATTTAAAAAGTCTCAAATTCTAAAAAAGACAGATAACAAAGGTAGGGAGGCTGCAGATTTTAACATCGTAATTCAGGTTAGATCACATCTTAGCAGAGCTCACCCCGTGATGAAAGGAATCGCATGTGTGCATGCATATACACGCACATTCTTATCTTCCGAT